CCCTAAATACACTTTTTTAAAAAAATAAAAAAAAAAATCTTGATTTCGTATATTGTCGTATAATTGCATAAAAATGTTGTTCTTGCATTTGGTTAGGAAGGGTATTCTTTTTTCATGCATTTTTTTTCCTATATTTTTTAGGATCGATCTTATGCATGCGTAGTTTTAATTTGTATTGATATTTCTCAACATGTTGATTTGATATTACGAAGGGTGATTTTGATGTTAGAAAAATATTATATGATAATTTAACACGGAAGAATTAATATCTCTCAATAGACATATAGGTAATTAATGATGTTATGAATGTTAACATAAGTCAATCTTACAAAACCCTTTCGGTTTTAATGTTCTATATTCTACGGGAGTAAAATTTTATTTGTACTCAATTGTGGTCAAGTTGTTGATTGAATTTAAAACTTAACATACATGATGGCTTATTTTGAATTTTCTCCATGATTTCAAACACGCCTTTAATTTATGTATCATTCATTAAGCTACAAGTGCAAGTTATAAAAATGTGTCCACAATTACAAAGCATGAATTTTATGGTAGCTTAGAAAGTAGAGACTTGAATTATTGATCATCTCATATTAGTCCTATAATGCTTACAACATTTTTTTTAGTGTGCCATTGTTAGTTTCATACAATAATGTACATCAAGAACTATGGAGAAGAGCCAAGTTGTTAGCTAGCCCAGGCCAAGTGATGGAACATCAACACGGTAGTGAGATAAGCGACGAAAACATCAAAGGAGACGACAAACATTCTACCACAGAAGAAAGGATAAGCACTTCCTCTGTTTCCTCTGCATCAGACATTAAGTCCGCGATGACTGATTTTTCCTTCGATGATACATTCCATATAGATAAATTAGGCAAAGGTACGTTATGGTTATAGTTGTTACGTATGATCATGACATATTTCATAGAAAAATAACACTTTAGGACTAATGTGGCATCTTTAACAATTTACATCGATCATAGGTAGCTTTGCTGTTGATAGTGAGCAAAGCGATGCAGCTCCACAGACAACAGCAAGCAGTGATGATACATCGACGTTAGAATGCCCACCAGTTCAGGTGATGGAGCGGCCTGCTGAGACCTCGGGTTATAGAATTCCATCCTATGTATTTGCCACAACCAAATCAAGTCATCCAGAGTGGAGTACCACTTCGAATGAGTCATTGTTTAGTATTCATACAGGAAACATGAGTTTTACACGCGATCAGTTTAGTTGGTTGTTGAAGTCTGGTGAATTAGGCATTTACGGAGGGCCTAGTGATATACGAAAATCAGGAGAACTCCCTCCGCCTTCACCAGTACACATGCCAATGCCAATGCCAAGATTAGGCGATCAAAGAGTTATGGACTTACATAAAGAAGAGAGAACCCCGTGTTCATCCCAAGAAACAATTAATTCCGGAGAAGGGAGTATACAAACACATAAAAAAACATCATCTTCGATTTCAATCCCATCGACTGACAGGAGAACAAGCTCTTGCCAAATGAGTGAAAACGACTATTCACAAGGGACATGCTCGTCTCAAATGAGTGACAACGGAGATTATACAGCAACAAGTCCGTCTCAAATGAGTGAACAGACTGACTCTCGGGCTACTAGTCCGTCCCAAATGAGTGATAACAATGATGATTCCGAAGTTGCTAGGAAAAAACATGATCAAATTGTAGATATTAAAGACAATGTGTCCTCTGTTTCGGCTTCTGCTTCAGATGATGTACCTCTTACTACATGTATTTCACACCATTCAGATACAAGTGGACAGTCTTTCGCCTTTCCAGTGTAAGATACTCATTATCTTCATTCGAAATTTGTCATTGATTGCATATCTTTAGTCGAATTATTAACTATCTAGTTAAGTATTAGTTGCAACTTTGAAATATTTTTATACTCCCTCGTTTCAATTTGTTAGTCCCATATACTATTTTGGGCGTTTCAAAAAGATATACTCATATTAAATGTATTCCACTTTTAACTTAGTTTTTATTTCCTATTTTATTCATATTAAATTCTAATTGGTTAGATTAATTGATTGTGAATTAATGATATGAGTCTAAGTAAAGAAATTACTCCCTTGATTTATGCAAATATGATTAAAACTTTCCTTACAAAATCAAAAATAAATTAAATAAGACAAAACAATTTATGAATTGTTTTTTAATTTAATGTTAGATTCCAAATATTATCCTTTTCTTATTTTATGTGATTGATTCCATATAGGACTATCATATTGAAACGGAGGGAGTATCTTATATCTCACAAATAACATGCCAAAGTATGTTATGATCATATAGGAAGTGAATTATATAGGAATAATAATATTCTAGCATCTACATATTGTACTAATGACTTTAGACTTATTTGATCATTGTCATATTTGAGTGTGGATCAACCTGCATTGTGTTGGTCGTATTAAGTTGAACATATATAATAATTCGGATGAAATTCAGGCTTGCTGATATTGGCAGAGACAAATCAGTAAATTCGGGGCAAAGCCATGCTCGAAATGATCTTCGAAAGAACACTTCAACAGCGGATCAAGAGGCGACGAAGCCTCCTAACACCACTGCTGCTGCTGAAGTTGCACCTCCTTCAAATTACACATGGTTATCTTCTTGCTTTTCTTGTTGTTCTCGTTGTAAAGAAGCTTAAGATTGTACAAAAAAAAATAAGAGTAACAAGCAAAGGAAACTCCTCAATAGTGTCTCTAGTAAACCCTTTCCCCTTTTAATTTTAACTATGTTTCACAATTTCACTAATCCTCTTGTAGAATTTGTCATATATAGAGTTATTTATTCTCGATTTAATATTATGTTTATATAGATACTACTTTAGTATGTTATATAGGTATCATAGGATTCATATATTTATTAGTTTTTACTCTAATTGGTTTGATATAAATAACTCTAATGGTTTATATTTGGACTTGCTATCTCTTTTCATTATCTCCAATTTTTGTTTTCAATTCTAGAAAAGATTTATAGTCGTCATAGTTCGACATATAGAGTACGTACTAATTTAAACAGTTATCATTTCAATATTTATTTAAAAATATGTTAATAACTTCATATCATCTAGCTTTTGTGACAAGACAAAGCGGATTGAATTTCGTCTATATTACTAGAGTGCAATTTTAATGGCAAGCTAATTGTCAAATTAGCACCGTGCCACATAAGCTTTTAAGCTAATAATTGTCATTTTAGCTCCAATAGCTAGCTAATAACTTACTATTTAAATCATATATTGACTCCACTAGTAAAATAAAAAAAAAAAAAACTTAAGATTTTTTTTTTTGGGAGGGGGGGGGTTGTTTTAAATGCTTTGTATTTTTGTAGGAACATTAGATAAAAATCCAATGCCCAAATTGCAAATTGAAGTTTGACAAGTTATTAAAGGCTCCAATCATGTTAAAAACTGAAGCATTTGATTCAATAATGCTTTAATCTTTTTAATTATCCTTTAAAGTTCACTCTACAGTCTGCACCTTCACATAAAATTGTTCAGAAATGGCTACTAAATCCTTATCTCTACCTTTAAAAATTCAAAATAACTTTTATGAATATTGTTTGAACAACTACCCTCTTAAATTAATTTAAAGAAAAAGTGTGCAAGGAGATGGGGTGGGGGGTGAATTATTGTGAATGATATTAAAATCAAAAACACAAAAAAGCTTTCTCTATTTTAGAAGACACTATGCACTTTATATATAATTATGGATTAAAATTACCATTGTTAGAGAGAGAATACAAGTTTATAACCTTGATAAACAATTTCGGTTTATCAAGGTATATTTATGTACCCCCTTAGCTTGCTTTTCCCACTCCCCCTTGATTTTCTCTCTTCTCATTCAACTTTTAATTTCAATGGTGGAAAATACGTCACTTCACTACAACATCGAACTAGGCAAAATTAATGGATGGATGAAGGCTTAATTAATTACTTACTTTTTAGGGCTGACCACACTCTTTATTTCTTAGTTTGTTATTCGGATTTTTGTTTAATTTTGGCGATGAAGCCACCGGAAATGGTGGTGCTAGTAGAGTCGAGTGAGCTTGAAAACGAAGATGAAAGTGGGTGTGGATTTGAGAAATTATGAAGGTGGGTGAGACTGTGAGATGAAAGAGGTGGGGAAAAAGGTGGGAAGAAGAAGATAATTATAAGCATGAAGGACAAAGGGAAAAACGGGGGAAGATGAAGATGAATAGAAGTTAACGGTGCTAACTTCTGTCACCTTGCCACAAAAGCCCACAAACAGTAAAAATATATTTATTTAACAAAAAAGCAAAAATTTAAATGTAATTTATTACTTATATTAAATGTTTATCGATGTTATAAGTTGGATCTTGCTTATTGTAAAAGTAAAAAAAAAAACTCATAGTGAGACTTTCTTTTTTATAATTTCATTACTCCATACTCAACCACTATGAAATTAAACGATATTGAATCTAAGATGTTATTCAGGACACCACTTTCTAGTTCACACTTTGATTTAAAAAAGATGAACTTTTTTCAATAGCATATTGGACTATTGCTCTCGTATCAATATAGCGTAACATAAACATGTCAGCCTGTCAGGTCATAAATTCTTGTCATAAAAAAAAAAGGACAAATATAATGTTTGTAGGTAGCAATTACAAAGATACTTTAACTAAGAGGGAAATGAAGTTTGATTTACATTAATTCATTTGTTCATTACATATACTATCTCCGATTTTTTTTTAATTAGTTGCAACTATGGAATACTTTATATCTCACAAATAATACCCTAAATTTGCATCTTAAAAAAAATATTGGAGGTAGTAATTAGTTTAATGTTATTTGAATACTCGTGTAATTTTTTTGCACAAAATTATAATGATAATGAAATCTAAATTACACATTTGTGCAATGTGAGAGACATGAACAACAAATAGATTTCACAACTAGTTTCTTGATTGAAAAATACTTGGCTAGGATCAACAATCAAGTTGGACCGGAAAAACCTATTAAAATTCAATCCAATTACTTATACAAACCAATCTTATATCAGTGATATAAAATATGATCACTTGTAGACTTGTAATTGCGTTACTCATGTTTTTTTTTTTTTTTTCTAGATAATTGTAAGTTTGTAACGGACTATCCTAAATATTTAAGTTTAACCTTTCAAAAATCAAACTTGATAAATTAGGCTAAAATCCCACAATTTACAAAGTACAGTAAAAAAATTCGTAATTCAATTCCCCTCCAAAAAAAATAGAAACAAAGGGTGAAAAAACTTAAAATAGCAATTAGGCGCCAAACCTTAAAATTCCGGGAGAAACAATATTAATGGCGGTCAAAAACACATTTCCAAATTTCAAAATGAAGCTCAAAATCCACTAAAAATGGCGCCATATTTTCTGAATTCACTTCATATTTAATCAACTTTCTCCTCTTTCTTCATTTCCCTCCTTCATTTCTCACTTCTCTCATCTCTCTTTATCTCTCCTAAATCAAACCCTAATTTCTAATCTGATTTCCCCCCTTTTTTCGATAAAAATGGAGGTGAATACTGTAACCCCAGATGCGATTTCGAAGATTATTGCAAACCCATCTCCTGATTCTTCTGAAGATCTTCCAGATCTTGTTGTTCAAGTCATTGATTTGAAAGCCGTCGGCAATCGTTTTATGTTCGTCTTTTTAACTCTTACTTTTATTCAGTTTTTTTGATTTGTTGTTTTGGTGTGATTTAATCTGTTGTTTCAATTAGGGTTTTTGAGATTTATTGTTAATTTCCAACTTTTTGTTCAAATTTTCATTTTAGGCTTTAATGGGTATGATTATTACACATTTTAAAAGTTTAATTTTTAATTTGCATACTTGAATTGAATCTGGAATTTTTAGGGTTTTGAAGGTTTGATATTTTTAATAGTACTCCATCTGCTAATTGCTTGTTAATCCAGTTGATTACTTTGATGTTTTTGACTTAATTGTCATGATCTGTTCAAAAATTGGTGTTAGGGTTTTAGTTGAACTTTGCTCAATTGTTTGTTAGCTTTCAGATTTAGTTTAATTTTCAAGGGATTGATTTAGTTAAGTTATTACACAATTTAATAGTTAATTTTAAATTTGCATACTTGAATTGAATCTGATATTTTTTAGGGTTTGATTTTGTGATGAATGCTCCATCTGCTAATTGCTTGGTAATGCAGTTGATTAATTTCATGTTTGTTGACTTGAATAAAAGGATCTGTTTACAGATTGGTGCTCGGGTTTTAGTTGAACTTTGCTCAATTGTTTGTTAGTTTTTGAGATTTAGTTTAATTTTTCAAGGGATTGATTTAGTTTATTGTGATGAAAAATGGTTAGGTTTACTGCTAGTGATGGAAAACAGAAGTTAAAGGGTATTCTGCAGTCAAGTTTTTCAGATATGGTATCTTCTGGATCTATTCAGAATTTGGGTCTTATTCGGGTTCTTGATTACACCCTCAACGACATCCCGAACAAACCTGAAAAGTAAGCCCTTTGACAATATACTCAATTGTATACTAATGGGCTTATATTGTGAACATTTTACTGATCTGTTATTGAAATTTCTGAATGGTCAATAGGTATCTGCTTGTAACTAAGTGTGAGTCTGTATCGCCTGCACTCAAAGCAGAGATTAAGGTTAAAGAGGAAAGTGAGGATGGCAGTGCTGCCAAAAGGCAAAAGCAAGAGGTTGATGTTAAGGCCGAGGATACGAAGGAAGCTGCTGGTATTATGCTAAAGCCTAAGCAGGAAATTGTTGCTAAATCAGCTGCTCAAATCATGAATGAGCAAAGAGGAAAGTGAGTAATCCTATCCCCTCTGATTTATGATTTAAATTTGTTTTAGATATGAGCTTGATTTGCAATTGATGATATATATGCATCACACTTTAATATTTGGTTCAATTTTAATAAGAACTGCTAGTTTTAGTTAATATCTTTGTTTTGTTTTGGTTATTCATTTGCATATGTTATAGCTTAGCTTATTGTGAGTATTTTTGCTGTTCGCAGTGCGGCGCCTGCTGCTAGAATGGGCATGACTCGAAGGGTGTACCCTCTTGCTTCTTTGAACCCTTACCAAGGGAACTGGACCATTAAGGTCCGAGTTACTAGCAAAGCAACCATGAGAACGTACAACAATGCTAGAGGAGAGGGTAATGTCTTCAATGTCGAGCTAACTGATGAAGATGTAAGCAAAAGCTACAATGAGTTTAACTTTTTGATAATTTGATTCATGTTTGAGCTGGGTTATTCATAAGCATTTTCATGAATGCAGGGTACTCAAATACAAGCCACAATGTTCAATGCAGCTGCAAGGAAGTTTTATGACACCTTCCAAGCTGGGAAGGTTTACTATATCTCGAAGGGAACTTTAAAAGTTGCTAATAAGAAGTTCAGTACTGTACACAATGACTATGAGATGACCATCAATGAGAATTCTGTTGTTGAGGAAGCCAGTGATGAGGGAGTGTATATTCCTGAAACAAAGTTTAACTTTGTTCCAATTGATCAGTTGGGTCTACATGTAAATGGAAAGGATGTTGTAGGTAAGAAATGCACTGACTTTAACATCAGTTGTTGATTGCAAGTGCAAGAATTGTACATTATTAATGATTGATTGCTCAATGTGCTTTATGTTACAGATGTTATTGGAGTAGTGCAGAATGTGTCCCCAACAATGAGTATTAGGAGGAAAATAAACAATGAGATGATTCCAAAGCGTGATATAACTATTGCTGATGAATCGTAAGTACATAACTTGATCATTACTTTATTGGTAACATTTGTTGTCTATCAAAAATTTAATATATTGTCGAATTGCAGGAAAAAAACTGTTGTAGTTTCATTGTGGAATGATCATGCCACAACACTAGGTCAAGAATTGCTGGATATGGCTGATCAATCTCCTGTAATTGCCATTAAGTCTGTTAAAGTTGGAGATTTCCAGGGTATGATTTTGAACAGAACTAAACACCATAATGAAAACACTTGGAGGCTTCAACATAGAGACTAAACTGATTTTTTTCTGCTCTGATTGTAGGTGTATCATTGTCAGCAATAAGCAAAAGTGTACTTAAAATAAATCCTGATTTACCTGAATCAAGACAGCTGAGGTCTTGGTATGATTCTGAAGGCAAAGAGGCCTCATTGGCATCCGTGGGTGCCGGTATGACCCCTTCTCCTAACGGTGGAGGGAGATCAATGTATACTGATAGAGTTCCCATTTCACACATCACAAGCAATCCATCTTTGGGTGATGACAAGGTATTGCAGTGACTATCACTTGCGGTTCTAATATAAATCAAAGCTTGGTTCATAGATTGTTAATCTCACTTATTTTGTTTTCTGTCAGCCTGTGTTCTTTAGCCTGAAAGCATACATAAGCGTAATTAGGCCTGATCAGGCTATGTGGTATCGGGCTTGTAAGACATGCAACAAGAAGGTTACTGAAGCTATTGGTTCTGGATACTGGTGTGAAGGATGCCAGAAGAATGAAGAAGAATGCAACTTAAGGTCTGATCAAAAGCAGTAGAATGAGATTATTTGTACTGTCATTGGTTTATTTCGGCATTTCCCAATCTTGAATTCTTTATGATACTAACCTTCTAAGTTTTATCATTCAGATATATTATGGTGGCGAAAATTTCGGATGCAAGTGGTGAAACATGGGTTTCAACATTCAATGAGCAAGCTGAAAAAATCATTGGGTGTCCTGCTGATGAGCTCGAGAAGTTAAAATCACACGTGTGTTACCTACATTGTTACTCAATAATGTCAATATAGTAGAAAACATGTAAAGTGATGATGTCTTAAAATTTTTACTGATACAAATCCCTTTTATTTTTCTTCAGGAGGGAGAAGATAATCTCTTCCAGACTAAACTAAAAGAAGCAGCTTGGGAACCACAAACATTCCGTGTTAGCGTGGCACAAACTGAGTACAATAATGAGAAGAGACAGAGGGTAACCGTAAGAGCTGTTGCCCCGCTTGATTATGTAGCTGAGACAAGTTATCTGCTAGGCGAGATCTCTAAAATGAAAGCCTCTCAGTAGAAATCCTTCTTGAAATTTTAGCAGTAGGTTATGATATTTATATTCTACTAGGGGATGGGTTGGTTATTTTTGTGAATCTGGATCAATCAAACAGAACTACTTTGTTCATTGTAATATATGCATTGCAAAATTAGCCTAAAACTTCATGTTTTCTTCTTTCTATAACTTTAATGCTAGAGAATAGTGTGCAGTAATTCTTCTCTAACATGAGTAGTATCTTTTCTGGCCTTGTGAATTGCAAAATGACTTGAATTTTCCCATAATTTTGAGCTGTTGATTGTAATTGGTACAAGAATTCTAGTTGAAACAAGGACTTAAGTATTAATACAATGCTATTTGAGTTCCTGTCATAATTTTGAGCATTGCAGTATTTCTCATTTTCTCTTATGAAATGTGCCAAGTATACAATCATACCTTTTCCTGGTTACTGAAGTTTGTATTCCTAATGCCAGATTTTAAACATTATTATTTTGCTCATAGTGTACTTGTTAATCTGAGAGTTGAATTAAAATGCAAAGGCATCAAATGAAAGCTTTGTTACAATAGCTCTTCGGTTATTCTCCCTAAAGTGCTTACTGAATACACTAGTAGTTTTGTTACAGGTTATGTGCAACGATTTGACATAAAGTAGAGAAGGAAAATGTCTAATCGTTGCATATAACCTGTAAAGGAGGTAGTATAAATTGTTGTAGTATCTCCTCCAAAACACACCATGACACGAAGCTGATTATCTTTTGAAAGCCTTGTGCTAACTGCGAAAGGTATAACCCCAATTTGGGGACATGCCTGATCAGAGCACAAGGAAAACGATTTGACATAAAGTAGAGAAGGAAAATGTCTAATCGTTGCACATAATCTGTAACGGAGGTAGTATAAACTGTTGTAGTATCTCTATACATGGTAATAATTATAATTGTTACACCATTCATTGTACCAAAACGAAAGAGGAATAAAAAAAAAATAAAAAGGAAACGCCCACCGTGGGGCTCGAACCCACGACCACAAGGTTAAGAGCCTTGCGCTCTACCAACTGAGCTAGACGGGCTTCCTGATTACGAACTTACCATTATACACTTTTTTCTTACTAATATTTATCAGAATGTTTGCCATATTGGACTTAGATTCAAAATTTAAAGCCAAAGTCCAAAGTGGCTAACTGTTTAAACATTTTCCAACATTATCTCTTAAACATATCAAAGATATACAGTTTGATCGCCTTATCGGTTTTTTTTTTTTTTTGAAACCAGATTGGAGTGAACTTAACACTCCATAGTATAAAACTTAAATTTTTTGGTCCAAACAGAATAAAATTAAAGTGGACTATTATTACTTTGAGAACATTTAATATACTCGTTTATACATTTGTCATCTCCCCAAAGGTACTTGTAAGAGTGTTTTTTAGACACTTTCAAGGCAATATTATGGATAATCCTTTGTTAAATAAAAGGGTACTACGGAAATGTTTAGGGTAATATTACATTAAACCGATTCCGAAAACTTAATTTCAAACAAATTGTATAAAGATAGGAAAAACTTAAACTCGATCCTAGACCCGGAATAAAGATCCATATTCGGTTCTAACTTCTAATGGTCTATTTTCAAGTTTCAATAATGAAAACCATCTAAAATAGAATCTGATACCATTGGTTTTACTCATTAGTTAGCTTCTTTGTTTTATAAAAAAAAATCTCTCCTAGCCTATGCTACTCGGATTCTTCATTTCACCTTATATACCCGTGTCGGGCATGAAGTAGCATAGCTCCTAGCTGCATGTATATGGTTTGTATCATATCCTCACCAAAATAGCAGCTGAAAAATCAAACCATACTGCATGTTAATGGCTGCTAGTTATAGGAATTTTGCAGTACAATTCTGCCTAACTTTAATAATTGCATGTGCTTCACTCCTTTTAATTTTACATGTCAATTTCATCAAAGTTATTAGTTTGATGCTTTAATTTAGCATTGCTCTCTTCTTTGATACATCAATAATGCACAATTTCCTTATATAGTAAGTGGTAGACCCAATATTCTTAATCAAGAATTCATTTTTATCCATGTTCTCAACTTAGCTTTCCTCCTAAGTCCTAACCCATCTTCTTTCACAACTTTTTCAAAGGCATTCTTTCTTCAACCCTATACATCTCAGACCATTTGATTTTCCTTGTTGAACGAGCAACCGTCGACCAAGTTACTGGAAGTCATCCTTGGTCCATCCCCTGATCTTGCATAGAGAAGAAAAAGGTATACTATTAGTACTTTTTTTTTTTTTTTTTTTGTTAGTAATTTTAATTAGTGAGTTGTCCATAAATTTGGTTGCATATTGTAGTATAATGTTTTGATCTTTATAGCTTGAATTTGAAACAAGGAAGATGATTATTATGTGTATACTTGACTACTTAATAGTCAGACAAATATATAATGTTATAACGATAGTAAACAACAATTATTAACTAGATTTACAGTAAATTAAAGGGAGAATTTTGCAATGTTAAAGTAAATTAAAGGTTTTTAATTGCATCAAGAAGTCCTGCAGGAGAATATTTTTACAATATAACAGTCATGAGACAGATAGAACAAAGAAACTAGACTCTGCAGGTACTAGTCCTGTAGGAGATCGAGTTGAGATTCGAGTCAGAGAAGAAAGTTGTAGGTCCAATTGTGTTCCTGAACTGGTGGCAGAAGATTGGCCTGGTGAGCATAAAAGCGCGGAGGAGTCTCCACAAGAGAGGGTATAGAGATATTAGACCAACGACCATCCGTGACTACTCTTGCAGTGGCCAACAGACTCAGTATTGATGGAGGGTGTTCCAGTAGAGTCTAAGTTAGATTCTGAAATATAAAATGGAAACATGAATATAAATGCCTAAATTTCTATGTTATGTTTCACTATATTAGCATTGTTCATTGTGTTTTTTTACTGCAGTTATGGAGAAGAAATGTGAAGGCTGTAAAATGACGGAGAATTATAAGTATTGGTCTGAGTTTCCTGCAACAAAACACCAATTCTTCAAGGTCATGCTTGGAGATTTCAAGCACCAATTGGTAGGAAAAACTGTTTTGAAAGCTACTGTACTTAAATTACTAATATCAGCTTACTTGATTGAATTTATTTGGTGAACTTTTCTTGCAGAGAATTCCTCGGAAGTTCATGGAGTGTTTCAAGGTGAAACTCTTACCGTGGTGTACACTTATAGGACCGAGTAAAAACAAATGGAAAATTAGGCTCTCGAGTACAGGTGATGAAATGTCATTGATGTTTTCAGATGGGTGGGAACAGTTTGTTCTTGATAATGGAGTGGAAGAAGCTGACTTCCTAGTGTTTCGTTTTGTTAAAGACTCCTCGTTTGAGGTGTCAGTGTTTGACAAGAGTGGTTGCGAGAGAGAGGGTTGTCACTTTACCACTAATTCCAATTATAGCTCAAGAAGAACTTCTTGTACAAGTACTCTCCACATCAACTATGGTAGTGTTGCTAAAGAAGAAATTGAGATTTGTGATTCATCATCAGAGGATTGCTCTTTGTTGGAGGAAGGCGAAGAAGAGACTAAGGATGTAAGTCATGTAATGGAAGAAGAGCGGGAAGGAAGCTCAAGTGAAGGTAATACAAACTAGCTAGTCATTCCTCATTCAAATTTGTATACTGTACATACTGTATTCTGTAACAAATGAATTAATAAACATATTGCTGTATTATAAATTTATAATTTGATTTCCAATTGACCATGGTGCAGGAAAACTTCCTCAAAGCCAAAAGTACTTCATATCGAATAGGCGGGTTCTAAAACCTGGAGAAAAAAAAAGAGCTTCCAAGATGGCTGACTGTTATAGCCGTGGCATGAAGTATAATAAGACAGTGTTTCCTGTTTTTCAGATAACCATGCTGCCTACACATGTTTACAGGGGATTTATTTTTGGTCTGCCTTCCTTAAATGCAAAATTTGTACAATTTTTTGGTTGTTTCAATATGAGTTTGGGTTGATATTTCTTTGTTTGCAGACAATCCCAAAGAATTGGGCAAAGAAGCATATGATCAAGGAGCCTCACGAGGTGGAGCTGCGTGTTCCAGGTTCTACAAAGGGAAGTTGGAGAGTCGGATGCAGATGGACAAAAGGAGGATCTATACAATGCCAACTCAGATCAAAGTGGCCGTTATTTGTGCTGGAAAACAACTTGGAGGAGCATGATACTTGTGTCTTTGAGCTGATTCAGAAGGGGAAATTAGATAATGTTAGAACTCCCATCTTCAATGTCCACATCTTTCGCACTGTTGACCACATTGCTCCCCTGACTGTGTCAACGCGTATGGTCTAGCTCCAAGGAAAACAATGCAAGCTCCTATCACCCTTTGTTCTGCTAAAACTTAGAGTAGTGTATTCATGAATACTCTATCTAATTGTGTGTATTTCAGTATTTCTACTAGTGTTGTGTTTATGAAGGGTTTCAGAACCTTAGCTTACTGGTACCTTTGGATATATACCTCCTCTTTTAACTGATTTTATCTTCACTTTGGGTGGAACTTAAGGCAAATATGTATGCAACTTATATCTGTTCTTGTGTAAAATATTTCTTGATGAGTTGCTTTTATCATCATGTATGTTTATTATTTTGTGCTGGTTGTACTCGCTGTGACTCTCTATTATAGCCTTACAGAAGTACTTCTATTATAGCCTTACTCGCTGTGACTCTCTATTATAGCCTTGTAGGAATGGTACTCTGTTTATTTTTTTGTTAGAATATCAAAACAGTTTGCTTATTTTATCAGAAGCCTTGATTAAACTATGCTAGCTCTGTAGCTCAATGTGTAGCCAAAAAACACTATCATGATTCTATTTATAAGTACGAAAATAAAACACCAACAAATTCTAACAGCAATCCAACTCAAATTTCTGTAGTTTACAGTAAGATTAATATTTGTATATGCTTTCAATTATGAAGAACTAACCTGGTGTATAACTCGGCACATGTTCAATAGACACTAGATGGTTTTGTTTTTTCTTCTAGCCTTGCCAATTTGCCACTGTAACAATAAAAAAAAACCAGGGTTATTGTACTTATACTGACATTCTGTAAATTGACAATGTTAATAACACCAAATATATATTCATGTTTGACAAGCCACAAGCTAACTGGCCTTCAAAACACCCTCTCTCCGACCACAAACATACACACGCGCATGCACACAATGAGAGTAGCTAGACACGACTATATGTACATGGATGGATCTTAACATTGTGAAACTATGAATTAATCAGTAAAATTATGTAGCAGGATGCTATGAAAAGAGACAGTCCTCGTCATTGATCAGCTGCAAGTTTTATCATCAATTACCTTTCCAAGATTTTCAACAGACCATGAATACTAAATTGACAGTACTACTTAGCACATTACACATCTTTTACAGGAAGGCAGAACTTCAAACTTTATAACAACAATTACAAATCACTGGTCAGTACTACTTTGTTAAATCTACAATGAGGACTGCTACGTACATACAAAGCATGGTTATTGGTCTATGCCATCGCAGAAGTGAGCTCGAGTTTTTAGAGAGGAGATGATTCTAAAAATTACTAGAATCTGTTTCATGACAGCCTGCCCTGCTATCTCTTCTTCCCTTGCAGTCATCAGAACTCTTGTGCCAGCACCTCTACCTATTCAAATAATTGCTTACTACTATTTCAATGCCTTCACCTCCTAGATATTCATTACCCAAAATTTCAATTTTCTCTTCCTTCTTTAACGCCATTTTCTCCTATCACTTTCTTAGTCCCAATGCTATACTCGCGCAATACAAGCCAATCACCAGCACCTTTCTGCTCAGATCTGCTTAGATAATAACATCAGCAATAATGATCAAATGATGTTCATGCCTAGGAAAGTTGCACCCTCCAATTGATGTTTTTTGAAACTCAAGAAATCAAACATACATTTTAAAATAGAAGCTTCTTTTGCAGTAATTCGTCTAAAATTCAATCAGAACATGATAAAAACATCAGCTATTTATAAGTTTCACAGCATATGAGAAGTGGTTTATTTGTTACAATGGGATTGAAGCTAGGGATTTGCTTTCAATAAAATCAGTAGATGTTTGCACATACTTGACATTCCTCGCAAAACACAACAATCATCATAGTAAGAAATAAAGCGCATTAGTACTTGCACCTTACAGATGGCTAACAAGAGAATGTCCTGCTACATAAACCACAGAAAAAGAAGAAAAAAACTTCAGCCAAGTACCAATTACTACTTTTATCATATCATCCCTCAATGAAAGAGAAGGTGCCATCTACTTCCATATGGACAGTCATACAGCCCTAACAAGTATCACTCAAAATTCACAGCATAAATGAAAGTACAGCACTACAGCCTACAAGAAAAAAGGGAAGGGGGTGCATAAAGTAGAAACTACATCATCGTCTTTACTCTGATCCCCAAGCATGAATGAAGGCAATTAGTTTTCATCATCTTAGTGATCAATTAATTGTTAAAGTCTCCTATTTCGATTACTACCATTCATCGTCCTCATCGTTGCTATAATCTTCATCTTCATCATCACTGATGTCATCATCTTCATCATCATCGACGTCATCATCTTCATCGTCTTCGGTAGATTCCCAATCACTATATACCTCATCCCAATCTTCTAGGTTTTCAGAGTCTCCAAACAGTCCTCCATCATCATCACTGTCGTCATAATCTTCTTCATCATCTTCGTCATCATCACTACCTCCAGAACTAACATTACTCTGTCCACAGAAGTCATTGCTTCCAATGCTAGAATTGTTCTCTGATTTGTGAGACAAAGAAGGCCTGCCATTTATATCAGATAAAATACCATCACTTGCTCATAATATATAGAAAATGGCTAATAGCAACAAAAGAAAATGAGAAAACAACTGATAGTCATGCTCATAGCTACCGCTTGTTCTCTAGATGCATGCTCTCTGCGGAAAGATGCTTGTTATCCTGCAACATTTTAAGAAGCAACACTCATTAGACTCAAGTAATAATCAATACAAGCAATTTCTTTATTCCAAAGAGCAAATCAAACCACCAGAGGTAAAAAAAAAATGAAGCTTCCAGAGGAGAAGGGAAGAAAAGGCCTTACATGCAGATCATTAAAAGAAAAAATATGCGCAAAAACTTGATGGGTGCATCTAGTACATAATAAGTTTATAGTAAATCAGATTATAGTGACCCTTTTAGTCAATATATATAGTGATTAGTGACCCTTACTATATCGACCACAAGGGCTACTATACTTCGGTGCACAATAATAAACTTATTGTGCATTAGATGTATCTAAGTTTTTGCCAAGAATATGTGCCTGCGTTTATATACACACGTATATAATTGAGATTAATTAGATACCAAACATTGCACAGCATGTCCAAGCTCTTGAAAAGCCAGCAATATATCATGTGTTCAACTGTTCACATATCTCGATGAAGAGATGACACAACAACTGTAGACAAAATGCTTTAAAACACTGCTGATTTGATAACTATCTCCGAATCTCCTATCAAATAAAATTATAAAACACAATCAGCATTCAGCACGAAAGAAAAGAGTCACAATCATGTGGATATCCATGAAACCTAAGAACTCCATTAAAAGGAGTCAGATTTCATAAAAATATGGCTTGTATCTTCTATTGGTCTAAACCAACTGCATCTGTGTTACTGTAAGTTTTGCTCACAAGGTACCAAACTATAAGATAAAGTAGCTTAAGAAGGATTTCACTCAAGAATTCCACTTCAAAGGATGAATCTTTCTTAGATAATAAAATAAAAAGGTAAATTCTATATGGTGGCCTTCAACTTTGGATTTATCTACATAGTGGCAGGGCAAAAAAAAATTATATCTTGGTATAATTTTTTTTTATTCCTGCCACAAGTAGAAAAACCAAAAGTTGAAGGCTACCACGTAGAATTTTCCAAACAAAAACTACAGATTGGCTAACGATTTTCATGTACCCCACCAAATGCTCCAAAGATGACACTAAGTCTAGTACTAACAGAACAAAATTCCGACTTAATCCACTTCTTATGGCTGAAATATAAGACCAAATTTCAATGTAGCATCATATATTTGGGTTTTCAACAGAAGTATCACATATTCACAACAAAAATTTCAAAGTGTAGACTTGGACACTCAACACTTTAACAGATGGAATGACTATGTCAAAATAAAAGAAAGACAGAGGTAATCAAACAATTATCTAATCACAAAACGCAGAAATTGGAACCATTAATAGGGTAGCTAACTAGAAATAGTAAGATTGACGATACAAATACAAAGGTACAGAAACTTGCAACATATTCATACCTCACTGTTATCTATCCCTTGATCGGCTTCAGTTGCTCCAAAGGGTGAAATGAGACTCTCAACATAATCCCTAGTCATCACCATATGAGCATAATTGGTATGCTTCCCTTTGAAACATTCTAGAGATTCCTTACAAGGTTCAACCAGTTTGAACTCATTCGATTTTCGCACCAAAAACTTCCCCGTCTCAGAAAAAGTAATCAAAGAGATGTTTGTGAGATCAACAGACAAAATCTTCTGCCAAGAACTCCAATCATTAGGGTCCTTCAACATCCAAAAATCAGTCACATCTTCTTTCTTGCTACCACTCAAAGATAAACATCCATTCACTTGATACAATCCCAGCTCATGGTAACCACTCTGCCAATCCAACACAGGGTACTTCACCAGATTTTCGGTCACAACATCAAAACCAGCAATTTCACCATTAAAAGAAAAAGCAGGAGCCCAATACATAACATCACCAACCAAGACAGCCTGGTCACGCAATCTTCTTGCAATCGACTCCTCCTCCATACCAGCTCTTACTCTTTTCCACTTCCAACACCACCGATTCACCTGAAGGTATGCATAACTACCTATCACTCGTTTCCATTGTCCAGCTTTAAGTGAAAACATATAAAAACCGCGAAACCTACTAAAATCAACGGTTCCACACCCAAAGGAAGCAACAATGACATAATCATCAAGCGACGACACATAACCAAACCCATGAGCCACCGAAACATGGACGCCCTTGGGGCTATCTATGTCCCGGCACTGACGCGTAGCCAGGTTCCATATCGTAAAAAAGCAATGTCTGTCATCCTCATCATCGTCTCGTTGATACAGACACACAAGACCATTACTGGAGTCCACCATATGATGCCAGCCAACATCCCAGACACCATCCTCGAAACTCACTAAGTCTTTGACATCACTGCTATCACGCTCAGGTAACAGGCAGTAGGTGCCGCATTGTTGTGTAGAACAAAATTGATCATTGTAAGGAAGCATGATAAAGTAGCGGTTGATTTGAGATGAGAAATTAAGGTGTAATTTAGCAAATTGAAGGCTAGAAATAGTAGAATTCCATTTCTTTGAAACTAATTTGAAGCGAATTAGGGATTTTACCGGTAATCGAGGAAGAATTTCCTCCATAATCAGATGTTCTACGAGAGTTAGGGTTTCGTCGGAGTTGTTCTTCGTGAGATTATCGGAGGACATGCTTGCTGATTTTGCTATCTTCCTTGACATTTTTCACGAAATTTGGATTGGATTTTTTCAGAAGGAATTCAAAGATTTTTTTTTTTTTTTGGTTTGGAAATTGGAGAGGTAACAAATGAGCAGTTGGTTTGCATACTGAATGACACGAAATCCACGAATTGATGAGAAAAGGCGGGAATTGAGTGAGTCACCTAGTTATTGCCATTGGGCCGAAACTAGAATGTATCTATGCTAATCCATGAGATATACGAGTATGTATGTTTAGGAAAAAAATTAGTGTAAGTGAAAGTTACATAAACGGAAATTTTATAGATTTTTTTTAAAGGAAGTTATTTTTGTTAAGTTAATCATTTAGGGTTGTTGCCTTGTTGGAATTATTTGGAATATTTAGGGTTGTGAGAGTTATTTGGAAGTTATTTTCTAAAATATATATATATATATATATATATATATATATATATATATATATAAAAAAAAAAGAGAATGTATGAGAATTGAGAATTGGGGGTTTTGAGTGCTATGAGAAAGTGTTGTAAAAACGTTTCCTAGAGTTTGTTCACACTTACTGAACTGAACTAAACTGATTGGAGCTGAACTAAATTGAACTAAAATGAATATTTTATGAAAGAAGGAAATTAGGAGCTGAATAGAATTGAACTGAGTTGAACTGAAATTAAGCTGAAGTGAACTGGCCCTTAAATGATATAAATTTTTTTTCGTATCGGATACTTCAATTATTTGATATCCGAAAAAAATCCAAGTTGGTATCCGATATCTGTTTTCAGATTGGATATCCTAAAAAAACCTCAAATGCTCCAAGTTAACACAAATGTTTTAAAAAAAATCCGGTGTACACTATTTATTGTATGACAGTATGAAAGAGGAAAATTTTCACTCCTTCATACGTGCGAAAAATTTTTCACCCAAAATTATAACATTACTTTTCTCTGTCCTCGACATTCTTTCTCTTCCTTTTGTTTTTTCGGTGATTCAAGCTAAGCTTTTTCTCTCTTAATTTGCAATCTTCCTTCTTTATCCAAGTATGTTGTAGTTTTATTATTCTTGATTTTTAGAAATTTTAATTCGATTGCTTTCATTTTTTTTTCCAAGTAATTTTAACTCATGAACAATGCAATGAAGAAGAAGACTACATACTTATCTGATTGATGAAGTTGATCTAAAATTCTAAATGCGGGTACATTTTCTCCGCCCACCAACCACCCCACACCCACCAGCAAGAAACCCTTCTCTGGCCACATGATGTCGATCTTTTATCAAACCTTTTTTCAGTAATATTTTGTAATTTTGTTGCTATATATATATATATATATAAAAAAAAAATATATATATATATATATATATATATATATATATCACTACAAAAAAACCAGTGAATTGCGACCGCCAGCACCGGTCGCAATTTTTGAGGAAAACGGTCGCTATTCACAATTGCGACTGTCACCGGTCGCAACTGCACGGTCGTTATTTAACTGGTCGCAAAAAAAAAAAAATTGCGGCCACGTGGCGGTCGCAGATTAAATTGCGACCGTTTTTCTTATTTTCAACGACCGTTTTTTAAACTGACGTAATTTGTAATTTGCGACAGGCAAAGCGATCGCAATTGCTGAAAATTACGACCGCCTAAGACGGTCGCAAAACTCGGAGATCTGCGACAGGAAGTGACGGTCGCAATTTTCAGTAAATTACGACTGCCTGTGACGGTCGCAATTTCCTGTGATCTGCGACACGCCCTGACGGTCGCAAAAACATGGGATCTGCGACATGCCCTGACGGTCGCAAATTCCTGTGATCTGCGACAGGCCCTGACGGTCGCAAAAACATGGGATCTGCGACAGGTTAGATAAACGGTCGCAATTCCTCATAGAATTGCAACAGGGCAATTTATTGTTATAATGCAATTTTCAAGTAATTACAATTTACATTATCGATGCCATCCTAACCTGAACCTATAACCTGTTATCATGTGATTTAATTTCAAAATTAATATAAAATAATAATATTAATAATTAAAAATTCCAACTTCGAACAATACATACAATAGTAATGTTCAAGTTAATAGTAATAGTAATTAGTTAGTAATAGTTTTATAAGCTTAACTTTAAAACTAAGTTAGGTCTATATGAATAAGTAATGGCCTATGTTCCTTCAAAAAATAGATAAGGCCAACATGTAACAATATAATTAATACCAATTTCAGGCCTATATTCCCCAAAAAATAACGAAATGGCCTATAACCCCCCCAAAAAAAACCTAAGGCCTATATTCCCAAAAAAAAACCTAAGGCCTATATTCCCCCCAAAAAATACTAAGGCCTATATCAACAATATTAATGTAAGAGCTTTATGAACAAAAACTACGACACCGGAGTCTGGTGACCAAGCCCACCACCACTCATGTCCGGGTCATCTTCCCTACGAAACTGAAATGGAGGACCACCTGAACAGTTAGAGAACAAGTTTTGCAACATTGTCTCCATCATTCGCTTACTCTCAGTTGCTGCCTCCTCCCGCTCCTTCTTCAATGCGTCCTGCAATTGCGTTACAAACCGTGCCTCCATCTGTGCCTGCATTTGCACTTTTGCCTCCTCTATTCGCTCGACAACCTCGGCTTGCACACTTTCCTACAACTGTGAAGCTATAGAAGGATTGTACGATTGCGAGCCTTTCTCGGAAGAGGGGGTGTAAAACAAACTAGCACTTGCACCTAGGCCCTTCACTACACCCTTTTTCCTACCACCAACGACCTCCCAGTATAGCTGGTTAGGGTCCGGTTGTGACCCTTCTTGAGTGGAAGACTCGTCAAGCTTCTTTTGGTAGGCTTCCTGAAATCAAACAAAACAAATTATGCATATTAAACATGTTTATAGGTTCAAATTGCGAAAACATACACATTTTCAAGTATTTACAAGGCTATAGGTTTACAGCATGGCTAAAATGGCTTAAATGGCCTTCTTACTTACCCATTTTCTTTGTTTTTGATATATTCTAAGATTTTATCAATCAAACAACTCATATTTAGCATATTAAACATGTTTATAGATTCAAATTGCAAAAACTTACACATTTTCATGCATATTCATGACAATAGGTTCATGACTAGGCTAAAATGGCATAAATGACCTTCTAACCTACCTATTTTCTTTGTTTTTTCTATATTATAAGAATTTATCAATCAAACAACTCGTATTTAGCATAGTAAACATGTTTATAGGTTCAAATTGCAAAAACTTACACATTTTCATGCATATTCAAGGCTATAGGTTCATGAGTAGGATAAAATGGCTTAAATGACCTTCTAACTTACCCATTTTCTTTGTTTATGCTATGTTCTAAGATTTTATCAATCAAATAACTCATATTTAGCATATTAAACATGTTTATAGGTTCAAATTGCAAAAACTCACACATTTTGAACCATATTCATGGCTATAGGTTCATGACTAGGCTAAAATGGCTTAAATGACATTCTAACTTAGCCATTTTCTTTGTTTATGCTATATTCTAAGATTTTATCAATCAAACAACTCATATTTAGCGTAGTAAACATGTTTATAGGTTCTAATTGCAAAAACTTACACATTTTCATGTATATTCATGGCTATTGGTTCATGACTAGGCTAAAATGGCCTAAATGACCTTCTAACTTACCCATTTTCTTTGTTTTTGCTATATTATAAGAATTTATCAATCAATCAACTCGTATTTAGCATATTAAACATGTTTATAGGTTAAAATTGCAAAAACTTACACATTTTCAAGCATATTCATGGCTATAGGTTCATGACTAGGCTAAAATGGCATAAATGATCTTCTAACTTACCCATTTTCTTTGTTTTTGCTATATTATAAGAATTTATCAATCAAACAACTCGTATTTAGCATAGTAAACATGTTTATAGGTTCAAATTGCAAAAACTTACACATTTTCATGCATATTCAAGGCTATAGGTTCATGAGTAGGATAAAATGGCTTAAATGACCTTCTAACTTACCCATTTTCTTTGTTTATGCTATATTCTAAGATTTTATCAATCAAATAACTCATATTTAGCATATTAAACATGTTTATAGGTTCAAATTGCAAAAACTCACACATTTTGAACCATATTCATGGCTATAGGTTCATGACTAGGCTAAAATGGCTTAAATGGCATTCTAACTTAGCCATTTTCTTTGTTTATGCTATATTCTAAGATTTTATCAATCAAACAACTCATATTTAGGATAGTAAACATGTTTATAGGTTCAAATTGGTTAATCATAGACATTTTCAAGCATTTACAAGTTTATAGGTTCCTCAAATTTCAAATCACAAGTATAAGTGCCTATGTTTTGCATGCTTCCTTAAAAAATAATTTCATTAGTTTCCAAAGTTAGATGTGTTACCGAGATTTGTTGTGCCCTCTTGTTAGCCGCAACTTTCCCTTTTCCTGGAACTTCCTTGAAATGTGTCTTTAGGAACACCTCAGGAGCAGTTGGAAGCACTCCACCGGCTTTCTGAGCCTGCACAAATCAAATAACTCCATAAATGCTTAGTGTATGTAACTACTAATAAAACATATCAGTATCATTATATACCATTAAGTATTACCATTTTCTTTGCATGCTTTGATGCAGAGATAGAACCTTGGAAGTGTGACGGCTCAATTGGATTAGACAGGGAGCCACCCCTCCTGTTCTTCTTCGCTTTTTCTGACCTCTCCAGAAATACCGGATCCTTTCTTTTCTCCATAATTCGCTCAAACATACACTCTCCCATCCATCTGGGAACTGACTTGTTTCTAACCGAAACATTGTATGTAATCTCTTTCAGCCTCTTATGTGCCTTTTTTTCATACTCCTTCTTCACGAGGGCATCAAGATCAACATTCCAAAGGTATTGTTTCTGCAAACAAGAAAAATAAAATGTATAATAATTTATTGTAATAAATAACCAAAAAACAACAAAGTTAGATGAGTAAACTAAACTTGGGGGTTTTATAATACCGTAAACGAGTTCCACCAGTGGGTCTTAGTATCCTTGTCAACCATTTCATAATTAAGCCATGGTTCGCGCCAATGTGCTTGAAAAATATTTGTAATGGAGGTGCTCACGGTGTTATCATCGAACCTTTGTACCAATAAGCAAACAAATGAAGTCATTACATACAAATCTAACCAAGATTGTTCAAGTTGGAATGCAAATTAAGATAACCATGAGTAACTTACCATAACCCCGTCGGGTGCAAAGTCCTTCTCGCAACGGGGGTAGGAACCTCACCCATGGGAGAGTTACTGTACGTCTCAAGAACCTGAGTAGACGTCCCAGAACCACCTACACCTGGCTTAGGGGATGGGGTAACTTCCTGAGAAGTTTCCGTATTTGCATGGCTTGTCGACGGAAACAAATCTCTCGGGGTGGCATGTCCCAGCTTCCGACGACCACCACCGGCCATGACAACCTACAATAAGAAAAACATTACGAACATCGGTAAAAATCATATAGCCATGTTATATCACGATCTATAAGCTATTGTCACACATAACCTTGGCTTTGCAAAATATAAATAATAACATATTTACACCAGTATATCACATTGAAACTAGGATGGTGTTTTAAAATAAATTGAAATCCATTAAGATTACATAATTAAAAAGTCAAAACAAGGTTACAATCAATCTCCTAAATCTCAGTTGAATCGTCCTCCCCATCAGCACTAAGATCAGCAATAAGTATTAATTTGGCCTTATCTATATATTATACTAAAAGACAAGCGCCTCAATGTGAGGATGACAAATGTCACTCTCTCATTGGCTTATCTTATGTATAAAATATATCTATATAATTACTGTTTACATATTCAAGCATAGTTATTTTTGTTAAACTTCACAAACAATAAAAGCAAGTTTCTATACATGCATAAGATTTTCATGATTTCCTAACATAAATATTGATTTAATTTTTTGTAAAAGTTTTGTTTTGAACGGACTCACGTGAGTCCGGTCATACAAACAGAAAAAAAATAAATTGAGGTCATAAATTAGATAATAATAGTCAGATATTAGATTATAATGATCAGAAATTAAATTATAATGGTCAGTTATTAAATTATAAATATCATATACCATATTATAAATTTATAATTGTCATAAAATATGTTGTAAATATCAGAAAATAGGTTAAATATATTAGAAATTAGAGTATAATGGTCAGGTATTGAAACCCCTCCTTCCTTCTTCTCTTTCTCTCTCCTCAATAACCACCATCTCTATCATCTTTCTCTGCAACTCACATTATTAGTTGCTGAAATCATGTAATTTGAATCGATTAGTATTTTTTTGATTAGAGACAGCGAAGAAGGAAGCGACAAAAGCAGGTGGTTGACGCTGTTAATGGCGGAGTTCAAGAAACATTTCTACATCAAAAGCAAATCGAGCTCGAAATTCAAGCTATTACTCAATTGTTTTACTCATCAATGGCAGAGTTCAATGGCGGAGTTCGAAATTCGAGCTGTTAATGGCGGAGTTCAATGTTTTACTCATTAATGGTTTTACTCGAAATTCGAGCTTTTACTATATTAACAGAAGGTTAATGGCGAACTTCAATGTTTTACTCATCAATGGCTTGCTGCTTAGCTTCTCGATCTCTTAATGCCGCAATTAAAATTAAGGTCTGGGTTTGGGCTCTTTCGCTGGTGGTGGTGGACTCACGTGAAACAGACTTATACAAAACCTTCTGTAATTTTTTATAATAAATATATACTTTCCAATACTACAAATAATCCATAAAATCTTTCCAATCTTTATTTATAGTTAAGTTACAGAATGATAACTAATTTAAAGCAATATGATTAAAGTGGCATAATTAAGAAAACAAATATTTCGTATTTTGAAAGGCTAATATTATTTTTTATGAAAATTAAATAAAATCGATAATGGGAAAACTCTCCCCCGTGGGGTTGGGGGTGACATTTCATTTCTTACCGCATTTTCAAACCGATTGCTTTTTAATATTTAGTTTGACGTCAATTATGAAATCAATACAAACATTTAAAAAAAAAATCAGATGTACAATAAAATATTGTGCACCTATTATAAAAGCTACCCTGTAATGAATGAAAGTGATTTATGCTTTACTGATAAAGGTTACCCAGAATAGTCTACAAGTTATCCTAAATTCAATTCAAGTAATCGGATGAATACAAAAGTTTTTGATAAAGATACAAAATAGTGTAAAAATTACTTTTATCGTTTGTTGTACTTCTTGACAAATACTGAATGCTGAGCCGAAATGTTGTCTTGGAAAAAAATACATAATCTTGAACATAAATTTAATTTTAATCGGCCTTTCATTTTCTATACAATGTTTTTTACAATGACCTTTTGTTTTTGTTGCAAAAAAAAAAAAAAAAAAAAAAAAAAACTGAACCAATAACCAATCTAAACAAGAAGAATAAAAGTTAAATTGAATTAGACAATTGACGGAAAAGGGATAGATATAAAATGTATTATATATAACTATTAATCATGTTTTAAATTGTAATATTCGTATTAACAATGCTATTACTTATGAATTTTTTTTTAGAAAAACTTACATTTTGATTTAAAAATTGTGCATTGCTCATGTACTATACTAGATATACAACAATCACGTGCAATAATTTATGTTGTTTTATACATAATAATACTTTTAACTATAATAGTATGCGTATATAATATAATATTTTTTATAATATATGTATATAATGTAATATTTTATAACACGTGTCCTCCATATCAAGTGTAGTCCCAATCACCACTACACCAATTGGTTGTTGGTGTAGTGGTGATTGAGACTACACTTGGTAGGGAGGACCTGTGTGCTCCCCTGCAACAACAATCGGAAGGGGAGTGGAACCTAATAACCTAGAACTGATCCTCAAATCTGGATTAGCCCAAAGGGTGAACCGGATTGAACATCCAACACTCAATGCATATATGACGGGAATTAACTTATCCTTTATCTATCTTATACAAAACTCCAAAGTCTAATTTTTTTTTTCAAAATATGATAATAACATTTGTAAATTTTTGTTAATATGAAAGATATAAACCTATGAAAATGTATATATAGTTAAATTGTTTAATAACTTATATCGAATGCGTAGTTTTATTAAAATTATTTGCATGTAATCATTAAATGTGTTGGATGTTGTGTAGCTATGCAATGTCCAAAACTTTAGTTGAGCGACTTTGATTTAGTGATTGTACGGTAAAAAGATATTGACTTCGATCTTGAAACCTAATAGTCTAATAAATTCTAAATAGAAAAATTAAAACAAAAGGAAATGAAAATAGTAAATGGCTTTAAATATTGAAATAAACATAACCTTTTAAATCAATTTAGCGAATTCAAGAGACAATTTTAAGGCATTTAAAATTAAATGGTGGAAAATATATGTAAAAAGAACATTTTTAGATATATAAATGTCCATGCACTATTATAAGAGTTTTGTTAACCTTTTTATAATTAAGTTAGAGATAAATCTTAGTAATATATACTCCGTATATTTTATTTATATAAAACTATTAGTATCCATACCTATATACAAAGTAAAGTAAATGTCTTTAAATATTGAAATAAACATAACCTTTTAAATCAATTTAGCGAATTCAAGAGACAATTTTAAGGAATTTAAAATTAAATGGGGGAAAATATATGTAAAAAGAACATTTTTAGATATATAAATGTCCATGCACTATTATAAGAGTTTTGTTAACCTTTTTATAATTAAGTTAGGGATAAATCTTAGTAATATATACTCCCAATATTTTATTTATATAAAACTATCAGTATCCATACCTATATACATGGTATTTGTGTCGTATACTATATTTAATCAGCTGTTGGTTATATATATGACTATTATATAATATATAGTTTTTGGCACAATGCTTAACTTAGAAAAATATATGTTCTGGTAGGTCAAATATAAGGTTATTATTGTGTCTATAGATTTAATGAGTGCAACGGGTAAATAAAACATGTATATATTAGATTGATTGTAGCCACTGATGCGGATGGTATGATAAGAAAATTTTAGTTTTTTCTCAACCGGAGATATAAATAAATTAGTCCACTTCTTATATAGCTATGTGGAGTATTATTCAATTATTTTTCAATTAATAAAATAACATTATAAAAAATTAAAAGAAATTCAAATAACATAAAATACTATTCAAATAACGTTCCTTTAATTTTTTTATTGACCATTAGTACAAGTCCTTTAATAGTAAATGAATTACCTTTGTTTTTATTTTTATTTTTCCTACGGGTTTAATAATTTGATTTATAAACCGTGCATCGCACGGACACTATGCTAGTTAAGACCTAAAAGTTTTATTGCTATTTGCCAATATAATTAAGTGTAATGATATAAATACGGAAAGTTACACAATAACGTATACTCTAATACAGTATATCATGAAGTGCACTCCATATAAAAGAGAAATACTTCTATTAAGTTTTATTAATGTTAATTGAAATACATACATAATTTTATATCGGCTATTTTACCAAGCTTATGTTGATATAAACTGATACGAAGAGAAGAGAAGAGAAATTGAGAAGTATTTCTATTCTCTCCTCCCATTTTATAATTACACCCTCTTTAATTCTTTATTTATGTTAAACTACATGCATACATAAAATGAAAACAACGACATTACATAAAAATGCACGTAATTAAATTACGTACACACATCCTTTTAGCTTATTCATGAGTAACGTAAAGTTTCTTGATAAATTTGTGAGTATTCACAAATTCATCAAACGTAGTATTTAATGGAAGGACTGTATTTTTCAATTTGATCCGAATACCTTGACCAAAGCATCACACCTCCATACTTAGGAGATTTCTTAATAACAGGAAGCACTTGTGACTTTAGTACATCTACCGGAATAAACCCGGTGTCGGCGGCTTTAGGGGATGCAGGCAACCCTAAGAACACATTTCTTGCTTTGATTGATGTCCAATAATTCCATGTCTTAAAGAAGTTTTTCTTATTCCAAGCAGTGTACTCACATGAAGGATTGTTAAAGAATCGAACCCAAACGTAGTCGAAAAGGCCCGTGTTTAGGGCAGCATCTAGATGCTTGTCTGGGATGAGGCATTGAGGAGCTGCACTTAGGTACACCTTTCTTGGAGATTTTGTGTTGTAGGCAGCCAAATAACGCGCCAATAGGTCATAATATCTGCATCAATACAAACTATATTTTAGAAATAAAGGACTAAAGGGGTAAAGGTAATATATGTATTATTTGATGTATGTTTTTTTTTTTTTTTTTGGGTGTTTAGAGAGCCTCAAAGGGCGGGTGATGAGAATCGATTCTAGGTTTCTTGGGATCAGGAGGGAAGCTCTAATCACTTTAGCTATCCCTCACTTTCTATGTATAGTGTATGACTGTATGTAATAGATTGTATAAATTATTTAGTTGTAATAAAAAAAAAATAAAAAACAAGAAATAATTTTAATAAGTCGTAATTGATTCAATCAATTAAAAAAAAGTAATAACACGTTACTATATATGATTCTTACTTTGTTGGTCCACTTTGGATATAAAAGTCGATCCCATCAAGCACAACATTATCAAATGGTCGTGTACGAGAGTAGCCGCCCAAGAAATTGTTCCACAAATAATTTGCTAGGTCTTTAGCTTCAATTGGAGAGTTCAAGGTGTAATCCGCGCCATTACCACCTATTGAGAGTAAGACCTTTACCCCAATCGATTGACAATACTTGATTTCGTTACTTAGAAATCTGCAACCACCTGTTGATGGATTGCAATGTGTAGCAAGATCTAGCATAGGAGTTCTTCCTTTGCCAAACTTACTAAGAAAGGCTATGTTAACATGTGAATATAATTTGGTCGAGCATGCTTGGCTGAGAGTACTCTCACGACCTTGGCCCCAATAGATCGGAATGCTACCCCCATAGGCGGCATCAGTTGCTAGGACTAGGACAAGGAAAGAAACAAACAGGACTTTTGTAGTCATTTTGTGTACGTAAAATTTGTTTTTAGTAAGATATATATGTGTATATTTCTGTGTCTTGGTACATTTTAAGCTCAATAAGCGATCATATTTATAGAGTTCAAGAATTATGATCAATTCATGGCTTTGTACGTACTCTAAGCAAGACACATTATATTAAACGACGTGCAATTATAGCTTGTAATAATAAAACACACGGCTTCATGTTGTAAAATTTAGTACTTGTGTATGTACATAGATTGAGAAAGGCCAGTTTATGAAATCTATTGCTCAAGTTCAACGGAATTTAGCGGATATTTCAATACCATGCATTTTCAAAATACAGCAAATTAAACTGGTTGTGATTGTTAAACTATTCATGTCTTTCCGAAATTTGAATTCAATAATCAATGGCTATTGGCTAGTAGCCATTGATTAGCTAGGCTATAAACTGAGGAATAATTTTTTTAGGGCTGTACCGGTTTAGATTGCACCAAACCGCAAACCAAACCGTAATTTTGCGGTTTGGTGCGGTTTGCGGTTTGAAAATTGCGGTGCGGTTTTTGAAAATGACCAAACTGCGGTTTGCAATTTGGTGCGGTTTCCAAAAATATTGAGACCAAACCGCACTTTAATGCGGTTTGCGATTTTCATGCTAAATTTTCATTAAAATTATACAAAAGAACTAAAATGTATGAGCTAATCTTTGACTATTAGTTAATTAGAGGTTAATAAAAAGAGTTTAATAGTAGAATTATAAACTAATAATTATAAAATAAAATAAAAGTTTTGTTTTAAAAAGAATAATTACAATTTTGATAAAATACGGTTAAACCGCAAACCGCACCGCACCACACCAAACCGCATTTTACGGTACGGTTTGGTGCGGTTTTTTTTATCAGTGCGATTTGGTGCGGTTTGAAAAAATTACAAACTGCACTTTTGCAGTTTGGTGTGGTTTATGATCCAAACCGCACCGCGAACACCCCTAATTTTTTTTGATAATACTAAGCTAGCTAGTACGGAGTAGCTATTACAGCTTATTTAAATACCAAATATACAGTATATACTTCATATTTAGCTTTAGTAATCTACTTTATTTGATCTTTATGTTTACTGTGTTTAAAAAGGAGATGATTGTGTTGTACATGTTGGGCCAATTATAACAAGAGTTTTTTTACCTTGCATAATTAGGTTTTAATAAAATAGTAAAGATGACATTAGATCGTATTGAATTATACCACGTGTATAAGAGCAGGGTTTTGTTGGCTATACCTAACGACTTAGGTCTGTTCTCATTGACTAAACTGAACTGATGAACTGAATTTATTAGAGTTGAACTGAGCTGAAATGAATATTTTGTAAGAGAAGGAAATTAGGAGCTTATTAGAGCTGAACTGAATTGAACTTATTAGAGCTGAAGTGAATTGAACTTAATTAAAAATAAACGTATGAGAATAGACCCTTATTAGCTTAATTAATACATACTCCCAGGCTCCACCAAAGTAAGTAGAAAAGATTAAATTCAATGTGTAGGGGCATAGATTTGATAATGTAAAGTTGTAATCTTGCACTTGTAATAAACTAGTCGTAGGATCGCGGAGTATTATTTTGAAAGGGTAGTTGACTTTATATTGAATACTCTGCATGAATTTGCATTAAAAAGATTCACATAAGTTTTGTCAAAAAAAAAAAAGATTCACATACGGAGTACTTAAGCCCACAGGGTTCAGTTGCATTATGATTCCACTTTGACGTGCAAGTTTTCTTTATAACTGACAATATTAAAGAACTTAAGGTGTAAAGAGCTTAAAGATCAAAAGGTGTAACAAAAATCCTATTGATTTGATGTAAAACATTTTCAATGGAATTGTGAAATGCATATTTTCAAGGGGTGTCAAAACCAAGAAACACTAACATTAAACAAAGATCAAAATCTCAACCTCCTTTGGTTTCCATGTTTTCCTTCTTCCTTTACTCAGCTAATCTTATTGTTAGGACTGTCATCTTCCAATTCGTTCTAAGACATTCTACAACTGAATTAACTTTTCAAGTTGCAGAAATTCTTTTTGATTCTTTAGAAAAATAAACGTGTTTCCCCCTTTTCTTAGATAAAGCAAGGAATTTCTAGTATTTATACATGCATTACTCCCTCCGTTATACAATGATGTTTTTGTTTGGAATCTTTGACTTTTTTTTTTTAAAAAAAATTATTCTAAATTTCTCTTAATTTTATAAGAACAAATATAGTCATGTGGGATCTAGTTTGATTCGTCTTGATGATTAGATTAATAGGAACATCATTTTAAAACGGATGGTGTATTAAACAAAAAAATGTTCAATGAGGTATTTATTTAGGTAGCAGTTAATGGTAAATTGGTAATGGAGGTCGTAAGACCGGTAACGTTTGGACATCATTAAACATAGTCCCTCCTCATTTTTTAAATGCATCACTTGCATTTATATGGAGTTTTAGGAGTGTTTATATGCTCTAAGCCTCTAATTTTATATTGTGTAAGTGGGATAAGTGATGATTAATTTATTTTGATAATAATACATTGCAGATCATAAAAGAGATAGTATGTGAAATTGTGAGTCTTTTAATCATTAAAGTAGGAAACATGAAAAATAGAGAAATGATAAAATATTTTGTACTCGTATGTAGAGTTGTTAATTCGGGTAAACGGGTCAGGTAAGAGTAGTGGGCGAGTCAACTCGGGTCGGGTCAATTCAGATTAATTCCATAACCTATGCGGGTCGGGTTTGGGTTGGGTCATGCTTGAGTCGGGTCACGTAGGGTCATATTTCTTATCAGGTTTTGGTCAGGTTTAGGTCGGGTTAATAACAGGTCGTTTACATTCAGATCGGGTGAACAATAGGTCGGGTTTAATTCGGGTTTTCACGGGTTAAAATGGGTTAGGGTAATTCTCGGGTTCGGTTTAAGTCAATAATTTGCGGGTTAGAATCAGGTCGGGTCATTCTCGGGTTTGAGGCGGGTTCGATTCAAGTCAATAATTTGCAGATTATAATCAGGTTGGGTCATTTTCAAGTCGGATCATTCTCGGGTTCAAGTCGGGTTCAGTTCAAGTCAATAATTTGCGGGTTATAATCAGGTTGGGTCATTTCCAAGTCGGGTCATTCTCGGATCACTACTAGAAAACAGGGAAATAGCGACGGACTACTTCCAACGGACCAAATATTTCGTCGGAAAAATCGAATTTTCCGACGGATTTTAATTCCGTCGGATATTTCCGACGAATTCTACAAATCCGTCGGAAATTTCCGACGGAATAAAAATCCGTCGAAATATATGTGATTTCCGACGGATATTTCTGTAGGAAATTACTTTTTCCGACGGATTTTTAGTCTGTCGGAAATTTCCGACGAAATTTTCAGTCGGAATATATTTTTTTATTATTTTTTTAAAATAAACCCCTAGAAACCCTAACACTCATGTTCAATTTCCGCCTCTTCTCCCTGTCTCCTTATCTTTCCTCTTCTCTCTCCTTCCCTTCTCTTTCGTTCTCACTCCTCTCTCTGAATTTCACTCCCCTCTCTGAATCTCCTGCTCGTTTTCCTTCTTCTTTCGATCTCGTTTTCCTTCTCTATCTCTCCTCTACTCTACTTTCCCCTTAAATCTCCCACCATAGCCAACACTAACCACTGCACCGACATCAACAACGAACAACACCAGCAACACCGACATCAACAACACCATCACCGACATTAACATCAACAACAATATTCATCCTTTTCGCCCTTATTCTCTCTCTTCATGCTTAAAACAAAGGTTTCCGGGTCAAATTCGAAGGTTATGTGTGGTCGAATTAAGGTATGTATCTTTTTTTTTCAATTTTGATTTTTTTTTTTGTTATTTTATTGGATTTTTTTTTTAAAATTTCTGGTGGTGGAAGGTGGTTGTTGTTGGAGTTTGAGTTTTGTGGGTAATGATTAGGGATATCAATTTTTTTCTTTAATTTTTTTTGTTAATTTTTGGTGGTGACGGTGGTTTTCAGTAGCCACGACAGTGGTGGTTTTTAGGTGGGTGGTGGGGTGGTTTGCTTAGGTTGGGGGGTTTGGCCGAATTTGTAAGGGTTAGGGTTGTAGATCTGGGTTTGGTTTGGGTGGGCTTGGGTTAGGTGAGGAGTCGGATCTAGGGATGACAGTTTAATCCGAGTTCGATTCGAATCCGATCCGATCCGAAGGAAAAAATCCGATTCGAATCCGTTTAAAATTAGTTCGAATCCGATAAAATAGATCCGAATCCGAATAGGAGGTGGATCGGACTTGGACCCTATGCAAAGTCCGACAGAGTCCGATCCGAGTCCGAATCCGAGAGTATAAGCATATGCTCTATAACTTGGGACAATTATTTGCTTGTTTTGTAGCAAAAATTTGTTATGTAACTTAGTTTATAATTTAAATATGTTATGTTTATACTTTAATTGGTATGACAATACAAGCAATTATAGGTATATGACATTACAAAAAATAAAACTAAAAAAAAATATTCGGACCATTTCGGAGGTCCGAATAACGGACCGGATTCGGATCCGAAAATTACGAGTCGGATCGGATTCGGACTCGGATTTTTCGGATTCGGACTCGGATTCGGATCCAAGTCCAGGGTCCGTTTACTATATGGATCGGATTCGGATTTAGCCACATCCGACCTGAATCCGATCCGTTGCCATTTCTAGTCGGATCTTTTAGGGTTCTGGTGGAGGTTTCAGTGGGCTGGTGTGGGGTTGGTGCTGTGCGGTGGTACGGGTTAGGTGGGTTGGTGTGGGGCTGGTGTTGTGCGGTGGTGAATGGTAGTGGGGGTAGGCTTTTTTTTTTGTTTGTTTTTTTAGAGAATTTTCCGACGGAATTTCCGTCGAAATTTTCCAGGTCCGAAAACCTCTTCAGACAGACTGGTTTCCGTCGGAAATTCCGTCGAAAAAGTGCGTTTTTCCGACAAAGTATATTGCGACAACCAGTTCCGACGGAAAATGAGGTGTTTCCGACGAAAAATTTCCGTCGTA